AGCGGGTTGGGCTGGCGCAGGGGCGGGCACCGGGGAGGGGCTGGAAACACCCGAGGCGCAGAGCCAGGCTGAGAGGGTGCAGGCCAAGCTCCTGGGAAGGTGTGAGGGCTCCAGCCCGGGCTGGGGAGGGGGATTCAGGGTGGGAAGCGCTGCCAGGGGGTGTTCCTGGTTAGGCTGGCATCGGGCAGGCAGCATGTGTGAGCTGCCTGGCCCTGCGGCAGCTCCTTCCCCGAGGGGTGGTGTGGGCTCCGATAGCATCAGGGCTCTGTCCTCTGCAGGCCCTTCCTCCCTGCCTGCATAGTTCCCCTCCTCCCCAGCAGCAGCTGCATCCTCAGCTGCAGCAGCGATGGCAGAAAATACCTCCCAATGTGAAAAACTCCAGTTATCACTAGTAGTAAAATGTGTTCCAACAGCCTGAAAGGTCCAAAGTCTTTGGCAAGAGGCTCAAACGTGCATGAGGAGCTCGAGGGCAGGGTTAGTGTGGGTGCCACACGCACACGGCTTCTGGGGGGCTGCCAGGACCCGCACTAGGGCACACCTAAGTGCTCCCCCGACTGCTGCGACCCTGTTGTGTGTCTGCCCCGACCCTCTCGTGTGCGCTTTGCCAGGCTGTGCGGCTGAGAACCATCCTGGAGCAGAGGGAGAAGTTGATCAAGGAAGGGAAGTACACGCCGCCCGACTACCACAAGGGTAAAGAGGAGTCACGGCCTTGATTCGCAGGGGACGTGGCTGTTGGTCACCTGTAGAATTGTTGATGTGGAATTCCTCTGGGAAGAAAACCTGTGGCACAACGGAGTTCTGCTCTACAGTGGGGTCTGCGTGGGGACTCTACTGAAGGGGAGTGACCCCACGTCGGGCATCACTTGGGCTAGTAAATGTCCCCTTCAGAACAGCGTTTGGCTCTGTCTTGTTTTTCTTTCTGAATAAAGCATGGCTTGAGGGGCTCTCTCTGTAGCAGTGCTGCCAGGGGAGCTTTTGAGACACCCTAAAACACAGCAGTGGGGCTGGGGACGTGCTCTTGAGGAGATCAGATGCTCCAGGAGCTGGAGCCCCAGGCCAGCGCGAGTTCTCCTTTTGTGCTGGCAGCTTGTCCCTCCCACTGACCTGTGGACAGGCCTCCCAGGCAGCAGTCCCTGCTGGAAACGAGAAGAATAATTTTAAACTGAAAGAGTTTAAAAAGCAATCCGAGCTTGTCCTGCAGAATTTCATCTTACAGCCAGCACATGGGACTGGTGTGTGCTGGGCCGTTCCCAGTAGCTCTCCAGCTGGAGGTAGTGAAGTATGAGGTGAAAACCTGTTTAAAGCAACACATTTCCTCCTGGATTCGGTTTCTCTCCTGCCCTTTCAGTGTGTTGGAGGCAGATCTCCTCGCTGGGGGCTTTGCTCTGAAATCCCGTGTGTCAGCGGGATCCATTGAGCTCTGGGCCCTGCTGACGGCGGCTGGCGGGCGGCCCTGGGTGGTTTGTCCCTCGGCGTCGGGCCCTGGCAGTGGGTATTTTCCCCCCGTTCCCTCCAAATCCAGCGTGGTTTTGTAACAGCATTAGAGCAGGTGAGTACCTGGAAATAGAGAGGGGACATCTCTTCGCTTTAATCCATGTTTTTAATACCGGTGATTGTGGGTTTAATGCTTAATCTTTGATGCAGGTGGAGCCTCTGAGTTTCCTGATCCTCACAAATCCCCACGCTGGGATGAGAAGCGCTGACCCGAGCGTGGTGTAACCTCGGGCAGGCAGAGGCGGCCGGTGCCCAGCGCCGAGGGGCTGTCAGAGATGCAGATCTCAAATTCTACCAGCGCCTTTGTCCGTGGAGCAGCAGCACTTCAGACACACGGCTCTGCGTTGGTCTCCAGCTGGGAAGAGGTGCCCTCTCCGAGGGCCGAAGGCGGCCGTGGCAGAGCTCCTCTGTCCCCAGATACCTTGTGAATGATTAACCAGGTGGGGGAGAACGGCCTCTTTGAGTGGTCTGTGTTTAGATAGTGTGTGCCTGAAATTTGAGGGTTTGAGGTTAAAGTATCACCTATCGTGGACTGTGACAGGAGCAAACCCCCAAACTCTCCCATCTGGGACCCTTCCCCTACCCACAGAGAGGGAACCGCCGCCGCTGTCAGCTCCCCGGGGCCTGGATCCCACTGGGGGCACACGGGGAAAAGGCTCCCAGAGCCCTGACTCTGTGTGGACCCTGGAGAGCTGCGCCTCGGATATGAGGGGCCACAGCTGGGTGCTCTGTGTTTTTAGGACTCTCTGCCATGTCCTTGCACCATTCTGGGGGACCTGGCGCACTGGAAGAAACACTTCCCTGGGTTTCACCCCAGTTCCACATGGGCTGTGGCAGCGACGGTCTTGTAGGTGCCATCCCAGCAGGGTTTGGCCTTTGTAGGATTTCTGCTGCTCCTCATCTTGCTCCTCTCCTGCAGCTCCCTCGGAATCAGCCTCTCTGAGTGCCTCCGGGAGGTTTCTCCCTTCCCCCAGACCCAGATGGATCGATTACTACGGCCCAGATGGGTTCCCTGCGCACGGGCTGATTCACGGCTGCCGTCATCCCGGCGTGTGGGATGGAGCCACGTTTCTCCCTGGCAGGGGCAGGTTCTGGGGGAGGGCGACATCGGAGAGCCCCAAAATCTGGGTCTGGGTCTGGATCCAGTGAGGCCCTGGGGCTGCTGGAGCCGGGGAGCTGCTCTCCCTGCGTGTAACAGGCTGATAATCCTCAGGGATTTTGTTTGGCGCTTTCAAATATGAAAACCCTTTGGTGGTGATTAGTTTCAGCAGAGGAAAACTTGCGTAACGATGCCAACACTCAGGTGGATTACAGCGTTTTGGCTATAAAAGCAGGCGAGGGGGAGCTCCCCGGACAGCAGTGGAGGGAAACACCAGAAAGATGTGAGAGCAGTGCAAAGAAACGGGCAGAAATGTGAAGGGTTTCAGGTGAAAACACGCTGGGAGGCTCCTGGCACAAAGGCTGTGGGCTCTGCAGGGCTGGGGGTGGCGGGGGGGCTGGTGGAGCTGCCAGAACTAATAAATAATGAACAGAGAGAAAACTGCGCCTGGGGATAGAAATTGAACCGTGCTGCGTGAGCCATTGACTGCTGAGTGGGTTTTTTGGGCAGCAGAGAGC